GCACTTAATGAGAGGCAGGCCTGCATCACGGCGCCGCGCTGTATTTTCAGAGTACTGTAGCGAGATTAAGAAGCCAGTTTTATTTTAGGGACGTGTGTGAATTTAGGCAAAAGCTTTTAGGGCTATCTGTGTTACCATCTGAGAGAGCTGTGTGGCTTCTGGGAGAGAATCTTTTTCTCCCTCTCTCATTAAAAAAAATACTAAATAAAAAATCAGCTAAACAAAAAACTTGGCTATATTAAGAGAGCTCTACTAAAATTAGAGGATGCTTGAAAGATTCCAAGTCTAGCACCAGGCTAATTTTTAGATTCTGTGCTTTTTTACCTCTACTTACTATTGAGTCTGAGGTGACGGGTTGGAAAAGACTGTTTTCATTGCTATGCACTTAGGAAAAGATTTGATACTCTTTTGAGTATTATTAGAGCTCTGCTTTAAAATAAATCAGCCACACATTTATGTCGGGTGTGGGCAAGAGGAACGAGACTTTTTCTGTTCCACAGGAAAGGGAGTGACAGATTTGATGGTTTTTTCCTAGTTGTGCATTTTGGCTGCCGTGGAAAAATGTAACAAAAGTTAGCTTCCCCGTTATGTTCCTTGAGCTGCTGAAATGCAGTTCTGTTTAACAGTTAAATTGCGACTCCATTTATACCAGTAATCCTACGTTGCTCCCGAAAGAACAAAAGCAGAAGGGAAAAGGGTATTAAATACCACTGTAGACATGAGGTATGTGGCACATACATTTAACTGAGCAGGTTCTTCAATACTTCTTCACGAACTACTCTAACTATTGTATATCCTCAGTAAAATCCTACATCTTGGTCACACATCCATTATAGACTCAGAGGAAGCATTTGTTAACAAAATGAAGCTTAAACTTCTTAAACATCACATAGAGAAACGTCTCGGTGCATTAATCCTCCTTTTGCAAAGAGGGATAACCAAGCTCCGAGAAGTCTCTACAGATAAGACAGAAAGTGATAAATACCAGTATACCTGTAGAGAAATGGCTAAAAATCAGTTTTGAGTAAATAAGGCCAGCCAATCATGAAGGTTAAAATATGTTTTTAAAATACTATCATCAGTCCGGCCCATGTGGCTCAGTGGACTGTGAACCAGGAGGTCATGGTTTGATTCCTGGATAGGGCACATGCCCGGGTTGCAGGCTTGATCCCCAGTAGGGGGCGTGCAGGAGACAGCCAACCAATGATTCTCTCCCATCATTGATTTTCTGTCTCTTTCTCCTTCTCTCTTCTTCTCTCAAATCAATAAAAATATTTTTAAAAAGTACTATCATCAAATCAGCCTTTTTAGCATATGTCTAGTGAAAATGGGAAGATCAGAAGTATTAATAATGGTGGTGGGGAAAACTTGTCAAAAAATGGACGGAAAACTAAAAAAGATTGTTCTTTTAATAAAGAGCCATTTAGGCAGCTGTCGGGTTCTGCTTTGCCTGTTTCAAGTGCTTGAAGGCATCCGGCTCTTCCATCACCAGGCGATTCGGATGTTTGTCATGTCTGACAGCACTGCCGGGCTCAGGCAGCCCCCATCACATGGCTTTGCTGCTGCGGAGGGGACTTCCATTCTGAGGACAGCTCGTAAGATGTGATGCCAACGGTGGAAGACGGATCCCAGTGTTCAGTCGCCACGGGCACATTGTACTCCCCCTGGTGTTCAACCCAGTTCGCATTTTGTTAGCTGACCCCTTCCTCTCATTTGTAGGTTGGGGCGAGATGGGGAGAGGGGGACGACACGGCTATTTCAGGTTTGCAGTGCCCAACGTCTGCAAAGTGCTCAGGACCCAAATCCCATTCATTCAACTTAACAAACCTTAATTGTTCAGGGAGCTCGAAACCTAGACGTAGAAGCAAAAGTCCGCAATGAACTATGTGATGCCAGTAGATTAGATCTGATGTTCTAGCCAACAAAAGCTGTAAAATACCACAGGAGCACGGCAGAGGGAGAATGAATTTCAGTGGAGGGGAGCAGGATGAGGAAGCAGGGATTAGTTCAGTCGTTCTGGTTTCTTGCTGATCATTGTAAACGCTCCAAGTCCCTGCCCTGGAGATGCCGGGCTCCCCCGGAGGACGGAGGAGCGGCTTTAGGGGAGATGCCCGCAGGGCTGTGGCCCTCAACAGCCGTGCCGCTGACCTGAAGGCTGACGGGACTCAGTTTCCCACAGGCTTGCGCGTGGAGTGTTCAGAATGTTGATCTCCTCTAGGAGGCCTATTTGTTTGCTTGGTGTGCGCATTTGCAATTACATGGAATGATTATTGCATAGATTAATTGTGAAAAGAAAGTGATAACATTGAAACAAGCTCTTCCGAACATGGTACCTATGACATACAGAATAGCTTGT